GCGGGGGATCTTGTGGTGCAGTGGTATTATCCCTACCTTTGCGCCAAGAGGCCCAGGTTCAAGTTCCACCTGCTCCAGAGGTGTGTAATAACATCTCTTAACAGGTTGATTAGAATGTTCACCTGCACATCTGCTAATGTGGTATACTGTATCCACTGTTCCCGATGTGGCCTCCTCTACATCAGGGAAACCAAGCTGAGGCTTGGGGACCGCTTTGTGGAACACCTACGCTCGGTTCGCGACAAACAATTGCACCTCCCAGTCGCGAACCACTTCAACTCCCCCTCCCACTCCTCAGACAACATGTCCATCCTGGGCCTCCCCCACTGCCACAACGATACCACCCAAAGGTTGCAGGAACAGCACCTCATATTTCGCTTAGGAACCCTGCAGCCCAATGGTATTAATGTGGACTTCACAAGCTTCAAAATCTCCCCTTCCCCGACCACATCCCAAAACCAGCCTAGCTCGTCCCCGCCTCCCTAACCTGTCCGTCCTTTCTCCCACCTATCCACTCCTCCCACCTCAAGCCCCACCTCACCTCCTACCTACCAGCCTCATCCTGCCTCCTTGACCTGTCCGTCTTCCCTGGACTGAACAACCCCCATCCTAACTCCCCACCTACACTCACCTTAACTGGCTCCATCCTCGCCTCTTTGACCTGTCTGTCTCCTCTCCACCTATCTGCTCTTTTATCCATTTTCCATCCACCTCCCCCTCTCTCTCTATTTATTTCAGAACCCCCTTCCCCTCCCCCATTTCTGAAGAAGGGTCCAGACCCGAAACATCAGCTTTCCTGCTCCTCTGATGCTGCTTGGCCTGCTGTATTCATCCAGCTCTACACCTTGTTATCTCAGATTCTCCAGCATCGGCAGTTCCTACTATCTCTGATTGGAAAGTAGTCTTTCTTGCAGTGAATGTGGGAGATGTTGTGGCAGAGTGGTACTGTGCCTATCTCTAAGCCAGGATGCCTGTTTCATGTACTCCAGAAGTGTATACAGCAATAACAATGCTGAACAGGTTGATTGGAAAACATCTGAAGTAGGTGTTTACATGCTATTTGGTACAAACAGTTTGCAAACTGGAAAATACTTGCATGCTGTCATGCAGCAAGACAAGGGAAAAACAGTCACAGAAAATGACTGCCTCCATTTTTTGGCACTTTGACATAGGATGAACAATCTGAAAATGTTTACAATCCACATACGTGGATATTTCAAACTTCTCAAAATTCAGAAAGCTCGTCTTGGGGGTATAACGCATTCTTCTTTATCTTACTGTCATAACATGAAACTAGTCCATTCAACTATGTGATCAAAGTATTGTTGACAGCATTTACCACATATCACTCTGAGTAAGGGGCCAAACTTTGCCTTCGTGTAAGAGCAGGGCCAGAGTTCATTGAATGTTTACAGCACAGACACAAGCCATTCAGTCCACTGATCCATGTCAATATTTACACCTCATGCCTTCTCTCACCTGATTTACATACCTTTCCATTCCTCTCTCGTACACATGTTCGTCTCACTTGTTAAGTGCTCTTTGATACAGAGAACATAATATGAAAACATGCCATTTTGGTCCAACTACTGTCAGTACTGGGGATATTATTTATCCCAAACTTGGATAAATAGAATTAATTTTATACAAATGACAAAAAAGATGCAGAAGAGACAAAATAAGATGAGCTGTCAGGAATTTCATGAATCTCCAAAAACACACCACACTCACAGGACTCTGTCAAAGCAAAAAAGGTTACAAGGCCAGAATTAACAGTTTAATTTCTAGTTGTCAAAACATTTCTTACACTGCAGAATTGGCATAATTGATACAGCCTTCTTTTTAAATTATATTGCTGTGTTTCCTCCTGATTATTCAGTCAATAAAAAAAGTGCCAGACTAACTCGTACAGATCAGAAAGGTCCACGATTTAATCCTTGGCCCGTACTAACTTGAGCTGCAGCAGGGACGAATTACGGAAAATACAGAAAAGGACCCTGCTTCTAATCACTATCAAGTAACAATTGCTGAAATGCATAGGTGTATAGTAGCTGGAGACAAGATCAGTCAGGTCCGTAATATTTCCCACAGTGAAAAAGTCTACTGAGGTAGCTAATAGCTTGATCTCTACAACTGACTGCAGTAAAGGAAAGAAATGGTTTTTAAAATTATTTAGGGGCGTGGCGGAGAGAGAAACAAAAGAGAGAAAACGAAAACCGTGCATTAATCATTTCACAACCTCAGGATGCGTTTCAGCCAATAAAGCACCTTCAAATGCAGAGTCGGCTGTAATGCAAGCAGCATGGCAACCAACTTGGAGGCTCCATCAATAGCAATATCATAATATTCATAGGAACTGTTTTTGATGTTGCTGCTTGAAGAGTATATATTTACTATTTCCATAATTAAAGATTCACAATGAAGGCTGATCAGCTTAAAATTCGAAGTCCTTGGCAAACTAATTGAGAGAAAGATTTATTCCTATAATTATGTGTCAAAGCATGTCCAAAAAGATAGATTAAAATGACTAAAATTTTATGGGGTCACCCCATAGCTTTGAATCCTGCTAACCTGCCCTTCTCAACATTTCTGGGTTCTGTTATGCAGTGGTAGTGTTCCTACCTCTGGGCCAGAAAGTCCAGATTTGAGACCCACTTGCACCGGAGATGTGTCAGAAACTGAACTAGCAGGTTAACTAAACAGACAGCAGAGGAATGGAGAAGGAGCCTTTTTTAAACCAGTTCAGGTGTGTTATGATACACCTCTGGAGAAGATGGGACTTGAACCCAGAACTTCTAATCAGGGAGACCACCACTGTGTCACAGCAGCCCTCATTGAGCATTAACCTGGGCATCTGAATTACATGTCCAGTGACAATACCACTAGGGAGAAAAGTAAACTATCTTCAGCCTGACATCTGGCTGAAAATGACATGCAACTATTAAAATAAAAGGAGGCAAACTAGATGAGCCTTGGTCTTATTATTGGCAATGCTCATGTTTCTGTCCAGAGTTGTCAGAAAGAGTGAGGAAAATGTTCTCTACATGGAGGTTAGCTGGAAGATAAAATGCTTTGTTACAGGGAGAGGTTGAAGCAGACAACTTGAAACTTTCAGCATTCAGCCTGTTGTGCCAATTTTGGCTCTTTTGAAAGCAATGTCCAAACTAATCTCATAACTTCAAGTCTCATTGCAGCATCAGTTTTGGATCAAAGGATAGCATTCTCCCTGCTGAGTCAAAAGGCTGTGTTTCAAGGATCTTTCAAAGTTTCACACCCAATACATATGGTGGTTTCTCCTGTGCAGTGGATGAGAAGATGAGGTACGGTTGGAGGTGCATATCTAGAAAAAGAATCGGACTTTGACTTTGCTGTTGTCAACTTTGTTGCAGGTGAAGTTTCAAAGAGACATAAAACAAGCCCTCAGCCAAACTCTAAGATGGACAAAGATCCAAAAGCCACTACGTAAGGAAAAATAAGGGAGGTATTTCCAGTCTCCTGAGCAAAATTTAGCCCTCACTCAACTTCACGAAAACAGATCAAGTGGTCATTATCACACAGCTGTTTGTAGGAACTCACTGTGCACAAATTGGCTATCAAATTTCTTGCAATAGGTCATGAATCAGTCCATTTTGATTCAGCCCTCTGCCCTGGCCTCTCCCTCACCTTTGGTGTTATTGGATTTCCCGTAATGGGCTCTGCACATAAATTGAAAGATTGGAAACATGGGTGACTTACTGGTGGTGGTTAACAGATGAAAAATACCACAGATCTGATGGTGGGAAAACCTGTTCAATTGTGAGAGATAACATTTCCAGATACATAAATAAAAAGAGAAAGAAGAAGAGGAACCAGAGAGCTTTTGTGGTAGTGTCCCTAACCCTTGAGCCAGGAGGCCCAGGTTCAAGTCCCACCTGCTCCAGAGGTTGTAATGATATCTCTGAACAGGTTAATTAGAAAATAATCAGACTTCTAAAGGTGAATCAGAGATAGTAGGAACTGCACATGCTGGAGAATCCGAGACAACAAGTGCTCCTGTGATGCTGCTTGGCCTGCTGTGTTCATCCAGCCCTGCACCTTGTTGTCTCAGACTTCTAAAGGTACTTTTTTTGCTATCAACTGTGTTGTAATGATCAGAGGTCAAAGAATATTTTCTAAAAAGGAGCAGGGGTAGACCAATCCAGTCTGCTCCCCCCTTCCATAAGATCATTGTTGATCTCCAATTCCACTTTTTACCCATGCCCCATATTCCTAAATTCCTAGACACCAAAATCTGTCTGTTCTAATCATAACACTTCTTTCTTCATTCAAGGTCATGGGCCAAGATTCATTGCCTGCCCGTAACTGTCCTGGAAAAGATGCTGATGAGCTGCCTTCTTGAACTGCTGCAGTTTGTAGGACATCCAGATTGCTGTTAGGAAGGTAGTTCCATGATTTTGAGCCAGCAACATTGAAGGAATGGCGCAGTATTTCCAAGTCAGATGAGTAGTAGCTGGGAATGGGAACTTGCAGGTGGTAGTGTTCCCATGTATCTGCTGCCCTTGTCCTTCTAAACGGTAAACGACTTGGGAGGTACTGTTTAATGAGCCTTGGTGAACTACTGCAGTGTATCTTGAGGACAGTACACATTATTGCTTCTGAGCGTTGTTCGAGGGACTGCATGTAGATGGCTGTGGATGGGGAGCCAGCTGAGCAGGGCTGCCTTGTCCTGGATGCTGCTGAGCTTCTTGAGTGCTCCTGAAGACGGACAAATTCACGTAAATAGACTGTATTCCGTCACACTCATGTCTTTTGCCTTGTCGATAGATGGGGAACAGGCCTTGGGGGAAGACACAGCTGTTCAAAGATGGAGCATCCGCAACCTTCTGTGGCAAATATGCACAATCCAGTGACAGGCGCAACATCAATGCAAGAGGTTTTCGTTTTGCAAGGGGTGAGGGGGTGAGGTGGAAGAGAGAGAACCACGGAATATTATTTATTCCCACGTAAACAAAAAGACGTACCTCCAATGATGGTCCTAATGAGGGAAGCGTGTCCAGGGCAGTCCACCAGTGTCACCTGGAGCCTGGTGTAGTCTCCATGCGGCTTGAGGTGTTCTGGGACGGGAAGGCAGAAGGAAGAGAAGCCCAGATCCAAGGTGATACCCCTCTCCCGGCTCTGAGGATTCTTGTCGAAGGCGGCGGTGGAGGCTGTGGTGCTCAAGGCCCGAGCCAGCGACGTCTTCCCGCTGTCGATGTGACCCAGCACCCCGACGTTAAAATTCAGGGTCTCCGAGGCTGCGGCCGCCGCCATGGTTACCAAAAACCGGAAGTCAGCGTGTTGGTGGGGGCCAGTCAAACCCGACGGACCTTCCGCTGTGCGCCCGCTATCCACCTTCCCCCAGCTCCACCTCCCATGAGGGAGGAACCAAGAGTTCCGCATTACAGTCTACGCTCAGCGTGAACAATGACAACCATGAAATGAAAGCTGTAAATCTGAAACAAAAACAGAAAGTGCTGGATAAACTCAAAACATCTGGCAGCATCTGCGGAGAGAGAATCAGCTTTAGCGTTTCGAGCCCATTATTACCCTTCTTCATAATTTTACAATCACAGTCAATAACATCCAGGAACATCCAATGATGCCAGGCCAACAAAAGGGTTTCTGTGAACATCAGAACATTTTCTTCACAGATGCTGTCAGACCTGCTGAGCTTTTCCAGCAACTTCTGTGTTTGCTACAAAAGGGTTTAATTTTCAGAGGTTATATGAACTTGGTTTGCCTTTTCCTGGGTGAATAAGATTGAAGAATGATCAGATAGAGATGTTTAACATTTTTATAAGATTTGATAAGGTGGATCTGTGATATAATTCCGTATAGAAAATCAAGAACAAGAAGACATAATTTAAAATCTGAGCTGGGCCATTTAGGACTGAAATCAGGAAGCCTTTTTGAAATACCAAGGTGTAGAGCTGGATGAACACAGCAGGCCAAGCAGCATCAGAGGAGCAGGAAGGCTGACGTTTCGGGCCTAGACCCTTCTTCAGAAATGCTTTTTTGCGGCGGAGGTGAAGGAATTGGGAATGGGGGATGCCATTTTTGCAGGAAGGTGAATGGGAGAAGGTGTATTCTATGTAGCTGTGGGAGTCGGTGGGCTTGAAATGGATATCAGTTTCCAGGTGGTTGCCAGAGATGGAAACAGAGAGGTCCAGGAAGGAGAGAGAGGTATCAGAGATGGTCCAGGTGGACTTAAGGTTGGGGTGGAAGGTGTTGGTGAAGTGGATGAACTGTTCGAGCTCCTCGTGGGAAGCTCCCTCCATAGGACTGGGCATCCTGGACAGTCATATGAACCCCTCAAGCCTGATCTGCCGTTTGATAAGACCACAGCTGATTTGTGGTTTAACTCGATATGCCTGCCTTTGGCCCATGTCCCTTAATAACTTTGCTTAACAAAAATTGATCAATCCCAGATTTAAAATTAATAATTGATCAAGTATCAAATATCATTTGTGGAAGAGAATTCCAAACGTCTACCACCCTTTGTGTGTAGAAGTGCGTCCTAACATCTCTCCTGAATGGTCTGACCCTAATTCTCAGATTATACCCCTAGTTCTAGAATCCCCAATCAGTGGAAATAGTTTATCTTTATGTGTTGATTTGATTTATTATTGTAACATGTATTGACATACAGTATGCTAACCAGACAAATCATACCTTGTGTAAGTACATCAGGGTAATAGAACAGAATGCAGAATATAGTATTACAGCTACAGAGAAGCAGAGAACGATCAACTCTGATATATGGGAGGTCCATTCATACGTCTGATAACATCAGGGAAGAAGCTGTTCTTAAATCTGTTGGTATGTGTTTTCAAACTTTTGTATATTTTGCCAAATGGAAGAGGGTGGAAGAGATTATAATAGAGATGGAAGAGGTCTTTGATCATGTTAGCTGCTTTCCCAAGCCAGCAAGAAGTATAGACAGAGTTAATGGAAGGAATGCTAGTTTCCATGATGGACCGGGTTGCATTCAGAACTCCTTGTAGTTTCTTGCGGTCTTGGGCAAAGCAATTGGCATACCAAACTGTGATGCATCCAGATGGGATGCTTTTTATGGTGCATCGATAAAAATTGGTAACAGCCATTATGGACATGCCAAATTTCCTTAGCCTTACCTTCCCTGTCTTTTCCTGTTTATATCTTGAAGGCTTCAATCAGATCACCCTTTAACCTCCTAAATGTGTATAATCATGCCTCATAACTTAAACGCTAAAATACAGGTATTATACAAATCCAATAAACGACAACAAATTCAAAATTAAAATAAAACAGGAAAATGTTGCAAATATACAGATCAGTATTCAAACCGAATATATTAACACCCTTTCTCAAAGATTGACTGCTGACCCAACCTACTGCTTATCCTCAACATTGTGTTATTTATTTCTGGAACTTTGCATCTACATATAGAAATGAGGATTTTGTAGGGATTTATGACACAGAAACAGGCTATACAGCCCACTAGGACTAACTCTACGGGATTTGCCCTTCTTCAGAACTACATTCCACAGTGAGTGTTATCATTGAATACTTTTATAACAGCAGGCACATTTCCGATCTGCTTCTGCAAAGCATAGTCACACTTCGAAGTTTCACAGATGTCCCCTGAAGATCAGAAGGATACATTTGGCATCATGTCTATGTCTGTCCTTCAGTGAGCAATCAAACCCCACTGTAAAAATGAGTTAATTTCCTTTAATTGCCTAATCATTAACTGAAACTTACACCACCCTCAAGAGCTGCATTGATAATGTAATAGAGTCTAAGTGATATTTTAAATAGTTACTTTTACATCCTAGTTTGTTAAAGCTTAAAGGAATGTTTAAATATTATCTAAAAGCATCATTTAAAATTGTACTCAGGTGAAAAATCTTAAAATTAGAAATGTGAATTTCAAAATATCTGGGTAAAAAGTTCTTCCTCTAACATAGAAATAATGATTTTTTTTTCAGTTTAAATTCCAAACATATTCAGCAAAGTTTGAACATTAGGTGAACTAATTGCAACATGTACTTCAGGCCGATTACCTTGTGATTGACAGATATGGTATCCAATCGGGATTGGGAATGCCCAAAGGACAGCCAATAGCTCGACAGGAACCTCGTGTCGGCGGCTGCGGGGGTCCGCCCCTTAACGACGGACAGGAAGTTACCACCCACTGAGCTTGCTGATTCGGTGTTGCAATGATGGATGGCTTGCTGACCAGTAGGATGAGGGGATAATCTGATTGACGTGCCTCGTATCCAATCGGTGAAGGGGTGGGCGTTGCTGGGCGCCATCGTGTTCGGTAGAGCGGTGTTGCCTATCGCCTCTTGGTAACACGCGCCGCGGGCTTTAGATGAGGAAGAGGCCGAGGCCTGTGCCAGGGCCGTACACTGACAGTTCACCATGAAGATCGAGGAAGTCAAGAGCACCACCAAGACCCAGCGGATCGCCAGCCACAGCCATGTGAAGGGGCTCGGCTTAGACGAGAACGGCCAGGCCAAGGTGGCGGCCGCCGGGCTGGTTGGCCAGGAGAACGCCAGGGAGGTGGGTGAGGACCGGCTCGGGCCTGGGGGCCTGGGGACCTGGGGACCTGGGGATTACAGAAAGCAGGGGTTCTCCAAAACCACAAGACTAAGACTTGATGGGCTGAACGGCCTAATTGTGCTCCTAGCACAATTAGGCCATTCAGCCCATCGAATCTGCTCCACCTTTCGATCGTGGCTGATATGTTTCTCAACCCTATTTTCCTGCCTTCTCCCTGTGACCCTTGATCCCCTTACTAATCAAGAAACTATCCATCTCTGTCTTAAATATACTTAATGACTTGGCCTCCACAGGCTTCTGCAACAATGTGATCCACAGATTCACCACCCTTTGACTGAAGAAGTTCCCTCATATCCCAGTTCTAAAGGGTCACCCTTTCACCCTGAGGCTGTGCCCTTAGTTCTTAGTCTTTTCTACTAATAGAAACCTGTTCTCCAAATCCACTCCATCCAGGCTTCTCAGTATTCTCTGTAAATTTCAATCAGGTCAATCTCCTCATTCTTCTAAATTCCATCCAGTACAGACCCAGTGTCCTCAAGCACTCATCACATGATAAAACCTTTACCCTTAAGATTATTCTTGTGAACCAAATCAAAAGTTGCTGGAAAAACTCAGCAGGTTTGGCAGTATCAATGGAGAGAAAGCAGTATAAATGTTTCAGGTCCAGCAACCTTTCTTCAGAACTCTGCTTTCTCTCCACGGATGCTGCCAGATGTGCTGAGTTTTTTTTTGGCAATTTCTGATTTTATTTCTGATTTCCAGCATCTGCAGTTCTTTAGTTTATTTGTTTATTATTCTTGTAAACCTCCACTGGACTTCTCCAATGCCAGCGCATACTTGTTTGGCTTCGGGGCCTAAGACTTATTTCTTTATTCATTTACAGGATGAGGGCATCGCTGGCTTGGCCAGCACTTATTGCCCAGAGGGCAGTTAAGTGTCAGCCATGTTGCTGTGGGTCTGGTGTCACATGTAGGCCAGACCAGGTAAGGATGGCAGTTTCCTTCCCTAAAGGATATTAGTGAGCCAGATGGGTTTTTCCAACATTCCACAATGGATTCACGGTCATCATTAGATTCTTAATTCCAGATATTTATTGAATTCAAATTCGACCATCTGCTGTGACAGGATTCAAACCTGGGTCCCCAGGATGTTACCTGGGTCTCTGGATTAACAGTCCAGCGATAATGCCGCTAGGCCATCACCTCCCCTGAACTGCTCACAATATTCCAAATGTGGTCTGACCAGAGTCTTGTACAGCCTCAACATTACGTAGAGTCATGGAGATGTACGGCGCGGAAACAGACCCTGCTGTCCGACTCGTCTATGCTGACCAGATATCCTAATAGTCCCATTTGCCAGCATTTGGCCCATACCCCTGTAAACCGTTTCTGCTCATATATCCATCCAGGTGTTCTTTAAATGTTGTAATTTGCCATCTCTGCCCTTGTGTCCTAGCCCTGTTGAAATGTATATGAATATTGCATTTACTTTCCTATCTGCTAACTGAGCCTACATGTTAACTTTAAGAGAATCCTGAACTAGGACGTGCAAGTCCCTTTGTGCTTCGGGTTTCTGAAGCCTTACCCCATTTAGAAAATATACTCTATGCCTCTATTTTTCCTGCTAAAGTACATAACCTCACACTTCCCCACATTGTATTCCACCTGCCACTTCTTTGCCCACTCTGTCCCAAGTCCTCCTGCAGCCTCCCCACTTCCTTGACGTTAGTTGTTCTTCCACCTACTTTTGTGTCATCCGGAAACTTAGCAAC